CTCTATAATGAATGTTCTGAAGTTTGGCTTTAACTTTGCATTTTGTTTCATTCACAAATGTTTAACGCACAAACCCTGCATATTTAGACTGAGTTCTTCTCTCAAACTCCTAGAAAATACTAATACTAATACTAATGTGGTAATACAGGAAGTGCTCCACTGTGGTTTTAAACTCCATAAACCTTCACTAGAATCATTTGGATGATTTCAGCCATTGAATTACCAATCTCTAAGGCATTGTTTCAAAAGAGAAGGCTGTACCCTACGGTGGGTAGCAAAATATTTTTTTTGGGGTCGCCTGATATGTGTGTTGCGCTCTTCTCCTGCACCCTGGACTGGAACACGCTACAAAAGCACAGACAGGCCCATCTACCTCATTAGAAATGTTGCTATGTTAAGACATGTTTCTGTATAATTTCTAATCTTTTGTAATTATTTTATTGACTATTTTGTTCCAGTATTGCTGCTTCAATTGAAAGTTGAAAAGAAAAAGAAATGACCTATATTTAATACCCAAATAGTCGACTTATGGATCCTTTTATTGCTGCTTCAGTTACTGTTTTTCATTCTTGAGTAGAGAGACACGATCACTCGGTCAACAATAAAATATCCTCATTAATGTTCAATAATGGTCAAATCCACCTTTATTTTTTGTGTTGTGAAGGCTTGTGACTTTCAAAATAAGGTAAAAGGTAAAAAGTAGCTGTTAACTTGAACTCTACCTCTTTGTGACATCATTAGGTGGAACAAAGCATTTTGAGCTTGGGGCGCTAGAGTTACTCAAACGTGTGAATGAAACAAAACACAACTATGGGTTTGTTTTTGAGGAGGTAACAACATTGTAACATGACTTAAAGCTCACAAGAGTCTTATTATTATTGTTATTTTTATTTTTTTTTTTGCGTAATATACAGTAGACTCTTTAATATTCTCCCACGCTCACCACTCCAAGCTGTGAACAGTCTGCCTGGTTGGCGTCGGCGTACAGTGACATGCCCGGGGTGAGGTGTCGCGGTCTCGGCTGGACTCCGGTGTAGTGACAGAGCAGGTGACGGCGCCCTCTGCTGGCACCGAGCTCTGACGGGTGACATGTGTCTGCTGTACAAACACAGAGCTTTGACTGGCACGGAGAGAACAGGGAGAGACGGCGCGCTGGCATGTGGTCGCTGAGATTGACACGTTAGCGGCTATAGGTGGAGTAAACATGCAGTTGTTTATTAAAAGAGGGTGCACTGACTCGCTGTTGGGGTATGGTATTCTTTTATTTGACTCTGCACAAATATACAAGGGCCAGGACTGAAAATAGGAAAGATGCTTGTTCCAGATTATTCTGTGAATGCAAATTTACACCTGTAGGCCCTGAGCAGTCTGATGGAAATACTGGAATAAAGATTAAATGTATGTATTCCATCTACATGTATGCTGATCGTTTAATACATTGTTTCCCAAAGACTAGGTCACAACCCTCAGGTGGGTCGCAAGAGATTTTTTTGTGTCACCTTGTCAGAATCTGTATCTCCAAGCACTTTTTCGACAGGACCACCTTGCTTACTTGCTACTGCTTTTCATTGTTTGAAACTTGAGTAATACTAAGGGTCTGTTCACATGAGAACGTATGCGGGTAAAACGACAAAATATTTTATCGGAAGTGTCTTTCGTTTAGACGGTGATGGCGTTTTGGGGGCTTAAAAATGCAAAAATCTGAAACCTAGCCAGGCTGGTGCCACCTAGTGCCTCCACTCAATTTTATTTATCTCCGGAAACTAGGTCAGGAATCAGAATACACTAGACCAGGAGTGTCAAAATCTAATTCACAGAGGGCCACAATTAAAAACTGGAAGTTGTGTGCCAACCTAAATATTTACTGAAAAACGTCAACAACATCTGCATGTTTTCTCTTTTTTCGAGATATGTAATTTCAAACCTTTTCTTATTAAAATAAATGTTTAATAATAGTTTTGCTTAAACACTGAATCCAGAACAAGCATGAAACAATAACAACATTTGAAATAATGTCTCTAACTCTAACACATATTTGATATGATCTCGCAGGCCAAATATAATTATATCATGGGCCAAATTTGGTCCCTAGGCCTGAGTTTGCCATGACTGCACTACACCATTCACAAAAACCCCAGAAGTGTGAGTTTGGGCACCAGCCAATCAGCGAAGAGTCAGACATTCTGTGTTGGCAACGATTCCTCAGATTGAGGATTTAAAGTCGGAACAAAGAGAATGTTTGGTGAATTTTATCAAGGGGAAAGACGTTATTGTCCTTCTTCCTACAGGATTTGGGAAAAGCTTAATATACCAGTTAGCCCCGTTAGCGGCGCATTACATACATCATGACCAAATAGCAGTGATTGGTTAAATAAAAAAGTACCTACCGTCGAGCGAACGAATCCTAATGCTGCGAGGTCAGACGGTTTCTACGACGTGAAAGCGGCCGATGCATCAGACTATCTGAAACCATCCTCCAGAGTGGAAAAGTTGAATATACTCCACTGTAGCGTTTCCATCTGCACTGCCCAAGACGCAAAACTCTGGTCACATCGCGTACACGTTTATGTCGCATACATACAGTAACAGAAACAAATGTCCCAACAAATGTACAGAATATGATACTATCAGTGAACATAGAAGGATTTGCAATCACCTCTGTTAAGTTCGTCGCAGGCGAGGCAGACGGTTATGGACGAGACCTGGGATTCCACACACTTTTGCGTTACCGTGTGCTCGCAGATTTCCTCCCGAAAACGCTCGTCTAAACACGGAATAAAAAGTGAAGATGCGACGCCACTTTTTTCGTCTTCTGTTCAGACCGTCATCATGTAAAGGCAATTTATAAAAGGAAAAAGAAAGAATACAATGACATCTAGATGAAGAAAACTCAGGCCATTTTCTCAGAGTTACTCCCTCCTCGGAAGTCATCATCCGCCCGTTTCCAAACATCTTCTGGTTTTTCTTTGAGAATAGCGCCTATAAGATACACGGAATATCAGAAATACAGTATGTAGACACCAGTTCCGAATATTGAGTAGACTTTTTGTTCACTTACTCAAAGCAGTTTGTTATTTGGAGAGTGAGAAGTGGCAAAACTCAAGAGACAAAACCAACACTCTATGAATACACTGGTTTGGAATGTGAGGACAGCAGAGCCCTTCTTGTGACGACTGGAGAAAGTTATTATGTCTGCTGGTGGCTGTGATTTCGGAGTCTTCGAGTATCTTCTATTGTTCTTAAGAGAAGACACTACAAGTCACTTTCAGATGGAGGACGACTGTAGACTGGAGTTTGTTTATTTATTTTTTTGTTCATGACCAGCAAAAGTGTAATTTTCATCTTCTCGAGAGTGTATCGCCGGGCTGGAACTGCACAAGGATGATGTAGTTTTGGAAGATACTGAAAAAAAAAAGAGTAAAGGATTTGATTTTCTTTGTTTTTTGTTTGTTTGTGAAACTATCTGGGCGACAGCAGCTCAGTTGGTAGAGGTAAAGGAGTGTCCGTTCTCTGATTTGGTTTGACGGTTTGAATCCTTGAATCCCGCTCTTGTGGTTTCTTGATGTAAAGAGCTTTAAGAGTGTCTTGAAGGTGAATCATGCTTTATAAAAATATGAACATTCACCATTTACAAATTTTGCTCAAATCCTTGAAAAAAACAAAACATAGGTCCTTTAAACTTCCCTGTCCAGCCAGAACCACATGCTTTGACAATCTTTCACAGAAACAAGTGGATCTGGAGTTGTATTTTGTCTCTATGATTTCAGAGGCCATGATTGACAGGTGGATTAACCAATCAGAGAGACGAATGCTATGTTTGCATTAAAAAAATGGAAAACATGGCTGTGTATATGTAAAAAAGGTGGCAAGACAACATGAAGGACTGAGAAACAGCTTATATTTACTCTACCGGTCAAAAGTTTTACAACACCACACTTTTTCCGAGTTCTTACTGTTTTGACTGATGAAAGTGTCCACTTTTGGCAGATATAACAGCTGAACACACTCGTGGCTCGTTCTTTTTACAATAGAAATCAAATATTCTTCAGAAAGTTCTTTTCAAGTCTGTCGCAGAAGTTCTCATAAATGTGTGGCACTTGTCGGTTGCTTCACTCTTCTGTCCAGTTCATCCCAAACCTCTGTCTGTTCAGTTCTTACCTTTGTACCATTTCAAGCTCTTCATTGGACTTGCACGACTTGAATTGCAATAAATAACTGGAAAAATTAGGGCATTCGAAAACTTTTTGACAGGTAGTGTAGGTATTTTCTCAGAATCAACAACTGAAGCATCAGACTATTACTTCACTCAGGGAACATAAGTGATGTATTTTGTTCTGGATGATGTCTTCTTCGTTTGAGAGACACGTGATACAAACTAGGAGCTGTGGTTCAGTTGTCTCAAGTCTGGAGGGAGGTTTTTCACGCTCTGTGGTCCAGTTGCAGACCCTTCTGTATTCAAACGGAATGTACAAGGAACTGGCTGGTCAACAGCAAAACATCTTGCCCCATCTGTACACAGTCCAACTTTAAAGAGCCTATATTACACTGTGTTTCCTCATCACAAACTGACCTGGAGTTGTGTTTTGTTTCATTCACAAATGTTTAACACACAAACCCTTCATATTTAGGTTGAGTTCTTTTCTCAAACTCAAAAATTTCAGCCCTCGAGTTGCCAATATCTACTAAATTAAAGGTAAAATGTAGCTGTTAACTTGAAAACTACCACTACGTGACATCGCGAAGTGGAACAAAGCATTTTGAGCTTTGGAGATGTAGACAGACAAAAAAAAAGTGTGTGAATGAAACAAAACACAACTCCAGGTATGTTTTTGATGAGGTGACAAAGTTCTAACGTGGCTTAAAGCAGTTTTGCATAATATAAGACCTTTAACTGACTCTCCTGTGTGTACAAATCCAATCCAAGAGTCTGACAAGAATGTTGATCGATGCATACACGTATTCAGTATTTCACTCACCTGTCCTCCTCTGTCTTCTTCCAGGTAAGGAGGAGTCCGTGGCCACCTTCAAGGGCAATGAGTTCTTCTGCTACGACCTCTCCATGACCCCCATCCAGAGCAGCACGGACGAGATCACGCTCTCCTTCAGGACGCTGCAGAGGAACGGGCTCATGCTCCACACGGGCAAATCCGCCGACTACGTCAACCTGTCCCTGAAGAGCGGCGCCGTCTGGCTCGTCATCAACCTGGGCTCCGGAGCGTTCGAGGCCCTGGTGGAGCCCGTCAATGGGAAGTTCAACGACAACGCCTGGCACGATGTCCGCGTCACCAGAAACCTGCGCCAGGTAAGGGAGCGGTGGAGAACAGCTGGATGCTGGTTTTGTTGTGCTGTTGATGGGAATGTTGCAAAGTTTCTTTTTGTTTAGTTTTGTTTTTTTCTAGGTTTGAAAATTCTGAAATTGTTGCCAGTGGCTGCAGTCACGTGCACACTCAAAATCTGATTAAAATCACGTTTTTGGAGTTTATTTAAAGAGACCATATTACGATGTTTTCAAACCAAAACATGTCAAAAACATACCAGGAATTGTGTTTTGTTTAATTCACACATTTAAAACACAAACCCTGCGTATTTAGACTTCCTTAGAGTTCTTTGCTCAAACTGAAAACACACTGTTCCACCTTGTGATGCCATGTGGCAATACAGGAAGTGTATTTTGAGCTTTGTAGATGTAGACATCCTAATAAGTGAATGACACAACTCTGAGTATGTTTTTGATCACGTAACAACATTTCAACTTATCCCAAAGCTCACAAGAGTCAATTTTGTGTAATATAGAACCTTTAAATGACATAAAAAGCCAATCTAATCAACTAATTTCATAATAATGTCATGGTGCTTTTGATTACTCGCATCAAATTGTGCAGTTTCCATGTCAAATAATAATCTTAAAGATCCGCAAATCAGATCATAATCAGATTTTGGTGTGCATGTGAACAAGGCCGATGTTTTTTGAGGGGTTTTCTGTTTTTTTGCAACTTGATTATTACAAGATTATCTGTATACTCTTTAGGTAACACTTTACAATGTCTACACTTTTAAAGGTTGAACAAAGAGTTATTCATAGTTTATAAAAAAAAAAAAATCATTCAGGTTTGTTAAGTACATAATTAACACTCTATCTTAATCACGTAGTTACTAAACCTGAATCATTTTTAATAAACTGTGCTCATTATGAATTAAAGCCAATTGTTATTTTTATAAAGTGGTACCGTATTTTAAAGGTGCAATGTGTAACTTTTTGATTGGAGGTCCGTCACCTGCTTGTTTCTATGGATACGTCATTGCTCTGCCTGGAATGTTCCACAGCATAACATTAAACAGCTCTACCTTACATTTATTCAATCACAAATAGTTTTAGAGCTCAAAAATACTTAGAAAAACATTATTTTGGCTGTGATCTGACCTGTAACTTCCAAAAAGTTAGGAAAGTTTAATGCCATACAGTGAAACATTCCAGACAAAGCGACAACATCTCCCTAGAGACGAGCATTTGACGGATCCTCAACTAGAAAAGTTACGCAATGCAGCTTTAAAATACTTGATGTTTTGTTTTTAAAATGTGAAAAAAAACTTCACCTGAGAAGATGTTGGCAGAGCGATGCCTCTGTTTGCCAATATACAATCTTTGGCGGTGTTTTTTTTTGCAAGAAATGTTCACCTTTTCTTTGTCTTTTAATCATTGTTATTCCAACTCAGCAAACAGGAAGAAAGCAACGAGATAATAATTAACTTTTTATGCCAATCAAAGTTTTTTTTCTTGTTTTTATGTAACCAAACGCAGCCAGAATCCTGCGCCAGAGAAGGTTGGATGGAGTGAAACCTCTTGTCTGTCTGCAGTTCTACTATCTCCGCTTATTGTTGATTAAAATTTGAACTTTTTTTGTGTATTTTTTCCAGCTCACGGTGCATTTTGATCGCGATTAGACCCGCTTGACTAACATCCAATTCTTTAAAGGATCCAGATAACGGGCTTTGTGGTTGAATATATCTGATCACTTGTTAAAATGCTATCTCTTAATTAATCACTAATTCACTTAACTCATCTTTTTTTTTCCCTCCCTTTTATCAAGCTCAAGGTGGCGTTACTTATTTGATTCATTTTCGCTTGTGGTCGACTCGCGATTCTGTGTGTCTTTTTAATTACAGATAAACTTGGGGGGGAAAAAAAATCTTACTTTGTTTTTAATTCAGTATTCATTTTCACAGAATTCTGAATTTCTCGTCAAAGAACAAGTAACAGAGCAGTGATCGATTGCAGATCTATGTGTTCAAAAGTGGTTATTTTAGCGTAGATTTAATCGCCTTAATTTAAAACTTAAAACTTTAAAACCATCAGATAAGCATGTGAAGTTATATTTTATCATTCATATTTATATCCACAAAAAAAAAAAAAAAAAAAAAAACAGGAAAAAAAAGAAACATTGACAAGGCAGCTGACTGATGAAAAGTAAATAGTCAAAACAGAGAAATATACTTTTTTCAATAAATAAGTTTTTGGGAGGGTCCCAAACAACCCCCCCCCCATGATGTTGTTTTATTAATAATAATGTATCAGTCTTATATACTTCTTTTCCATACTCTAACACACACACACACACACCGAGTTCATACTAGGCAAGATGGGTAAAGTGTCTTGCCTAAGGACACAATGACAGTTTTTACCACTAGTGCCTCGCTGTAGCACCTGATTTTCCCAGCAGTCTCCCATCCAAGTCCTAACCAAACCCAGCTCTGCTTAACTTCTGATCTGAAGAGATTAGGCTTTGACAAGGAGGTTTGGCCACAGCTCCATGACTCCACAAAATCACATACAATTTTGCAATCTCCACGGAGAAGCATTTGACTCTGTCAAGTATTTGACAGTTAACTGATTTGTAATTGAACAAATCAATCATAAATGTGTGAATTAACATACTGTAGAACAGAAGGTCTCCAACCTGTAGCTCGGGAGCTTCCAGCAGCTCTCCACTCCCTTACAAGTAACTCACCAAGGGATTTCTGAATCATACGTATTAACTTAAATTTGATTTAATTAAATGTCTATTATCATTATGTTGTTAAATTCTGATGCCTATCTTTGTGCACTAATACATGGATAATAACTGTCTGAATGTTTTATGTTTTCAAACTGTGCTCCATCTGAAGGCTCTTTATATTTACTCCTTTTCTTGCTGCCACTAACATAAGTAAATCGTTTTGTAAAAGTAGCTCACCAGAGGAAAAAGGTTGGAGACCCCTGCTCTAGAACATTCCAAAGGAAGACGAGTCTGTGACAAGAAAAGTTACATAGTAATCCTTTAAATGAATTATGATAAAAGATTTAATATATAAAAAACATGTAATTCACCTAATCGTTCATATTTATTCTAATACATGCAAAACCTATTATTATTATTACTACTATGAACTTTAAAGCCATGTTGTATATAAACTCTACCAATGCAGTGCGCACTAATTTATCAAAGCTGACAATGCCCTTACAACATTCTACACAAATTACCCACACACATCTTTACAAATCGTCTAATAGAAAACAAAATGGCCTCCGCGGCTCCAGTGTTTGTGGTGTTTTAAATGGGCTCGAAAAACATTTGCAATTCAAGTCCTTCTGAAGCTCACGCTGTGTGGATGCTCCTGCTCATCCATTGGCAGTTGTGTGTAGTGTGGGTGAAATTCAATCAATTTCACTTAGTTTGACCGTGCTTACCCGCTCACATTTTTCTTAGCACTTGTAATTGGAATGAATGGCTTGTCTGGTCCAATAAGAGGCGGTGTTGCAAAGCGTGCATGCGTTCACTTGAAGATCGGGATTGTGTAGACACAGGCAAAAATCTGGCTTAAGTTGCAAAGAAAACAAAAACAATGGTGTCTTATGCAAAAAGTGCTTTTAGGAGGGACAGTGTAAAAGCATATGTATGATGTCTTTTGTAACTTTTGGAACTCTTTTTGAGACATTTGACATTTTGGGGGGAGTTGATAGTCAAACGTCTCACAGTAATATCGTGGGCTGTCACAATATATCGAATTACAAGTTTCTTCGCTCAAAGGGACTTTTAAAGGGAATTTTGGACATAGGGCCTCATTTCCTAGTGAGCCAGAGGGTTGAAGACATGTAGAGACATTTTTTAAAATATTCCATCCAGTCCTTAGGTTACATGGAGTGGATACAAATGTAATGCTGATGTTTTACAGAGCATGCATGGAATTAATTTTACGTTATGGCATGTCAGCGTGGTTTGGTAACCTGTCAGTCAATCTTAAATCATACATTTTTACCTTGACTAAAAGAGCAGGTAAAATAATGGGTGTGGCCCCTAGCTCACTGCAGCAAATTTTTGAGGAGATTGTTAGGAAGCTAGGCAAGAAGGTGGCCAGTGACCCAACCCATGTTCTTCAGTCAGTTTGAGTTGGGCAGAAGGTTCAGTGTCCCAAACTGAACAGATTTAAACATTCTTTTGTGCCATTAGCCATTAATCTGCTATGTGGTCTATGTGGTGCTTTGTGTTGTGTTGTTTTTTGATAAAGCATGTTACCCCCTGTCCCAAGACAAATTTCTCCCATGGGAGACAATAAAGGATTATCTTATCTTATCCTTGTATTTGCAGAGGTCGCTGGTGCTAGACTAGTGCATGTCAATGGTCATAGTTATCCTGTCACTAAAAACAGTCTTACCCACTCCACAAAACACCCGAAGAAAATCTGTTATTACACCAGACTGTTGATGTCAATGTCTGTGTTGATCTCAATGAGTGTGTTTACATGCACATCAGTGTCCCGGGTATGATCGGGTTTTTTTTCATAAAGTTAAGTGCACATGCGTCCAAAAGACAAAAACTTTTCAGTGTTTTCATCATAACAGTAGCCAAAATAACAAAGTGACCAACATAAATAAAGTCAAGTCATTTTACTTATATAGCACATTTAAAACAACTATAACAAGTTGCACCAAAGTGCTTTACAGCATGAAACACAACACAGTGAAACGCAAACACAAATATAAAATGTATAAAATATTACATAAACGAGTTACTTGATGCACAAAGATAATAGTTTAAAATGGAGTTCATGGGCTGTTAAATGCCATCTTGAAAAAATTTGTTTTTAGGAGGGTTTTAAAGTGAGAAAGGGAGGAGCAGGATCTCAGGTGAAGAGGGACGGAATTCCAAAGCTCGGGGGCAATAAGAGAGAAAGCTCGGCCTCCCCTGGTTTTGAGGCGGGATGGTGGGACGGACAGGAGGTTGAACGAGTTTGACCTGAGAGACCGAGAGGCTGTGTGGGGGGTTA